CCGAGAGAGCTGTACTTACAGGCAGTGACGAGGCAGTCATGTGTTTGGGTTTACAACCAATGAGAAGGCAGAACCGAAAGACTATGTAAAGACATACACACAGGAAGTAGCTCTCTTTCGGAGAGCTAGGACCACTGCAGGAAGAAGGGTGAGATTTTAGCTCTGAGCTCTGACATCTTGGCTTTCTCTTTTACATTGGTTCTGTGTTTCTTACTTAATAAGACAGTTGGTTACATCTATATTCTAGATATAAAATAAAGAACAATCAGACTACAACCCACAGAACCATGGAGGCTATATATATAGCATGGAGGTCCCTAGGACGACTATGGCTTATAATAAATTTCAGTTTTACTCAATTACTGAGCAAGCCTCAATGAAACATCTCACAATTAAGATAAGAATACATACTCTATCAAGATGATAATAGAAAAATTAATTAATTAATTAATTTTAAACAATAAAAAATAGAAAAATTTGAAATATTAAACAAACAAACAAACATTTTATTAAAGTTAAAAAAGGGAGAACTAGGGACTCATCATTCCTCTCCACATACTATTCTTTCCCTTGTTTTATATATTTTAAATGTTTTTATTGGTGGATTCTGCTGGAATTTATTGGTGGATTCTGCTGGAGGATCCAATGCAGATAAGCACTGGAGGGCTCCTGTTGCAAATCACCCTGGAGTGATGGAAGGATCTTTCTACTAGCACGTGGAGGAGACCCGATCTAGTGTTGTGTGGCCCCAGAGTTTGGTTTATGTCTTTCCTCAGGACAATGAGGTTCCTCTTTGGATTCCTGAGCACTGAACGTGCCCTGTGGCTGCTGCTGAACCCCAACATGACAGAGACCCAATGGGTCATCATGAAAAAATCTACCCTTCTGATGCCAATGGAGATTGAGAGCCCAATATAGCCAGCTTTGGCAAGCATTAATGTAAGCCTAGGAACTGTAACCATGAGATTGGTTTCTCCAGAAGAGCTGCCAGCCAAAGTCATGCTGGGATCAAGAAAAACAGGCCTTGATGGTTCATGTTCCTGGAGTTGAATCCATGCCAGTGGATGTCCACACAACCCAGAAGAGAATTTGACATTGCTGCTGCTGCTGTTGCTGGTATAACAATGGCGGCTACTGCTGTTACTGTTTCTGGGATTACCATTTCATAATTGCTTACTACAGCTAGCACAGTGGAGACC